CGACACTCTACAATGTAGATGTGAGAAACTGCACTTCGCATGTTCTGCCTTCTCTACTCTGCACACATACCCTTGCAACATCGTAGACGAAGCAACACCGAAATGTCGCTTCATTCCCCGCTGCTGCCTGCCATGATCTGAAACTGACTCCATCTCTGCGACAGAGAAAACATCCTGCCATTGTACCAATTAAAAAAAGGCGTTTCGTGGTTTTTTGAAAACGGTGTAAACGTCGTGTTTAAGAAAGGGCTTCAAAACATGCACCCAACGCGACGGCAATTAATGAACACAAGTGCAGCGCATGTGACAGCGTCCGCGCCGCTACGTCGGACAAGGAGATGACTAGAAACTTTGAGCAATGACAGCTTATGGTACACCATGCATACACGAGTACCTTACACCTGGCCGTGCTAATGTAAACCGCCTTTCGCCAGGTTTACACCTACTTGCAGGAGGGAAAAGACACACCAGCGTGTATTGACACGACAGTGCTGACAGCTGCACGCACGGAGCTCCGCTGCACGAGCGTGACAAATCTGAGAAGGAACGCAATCGGATTGACTTAGCTTCCATATGCAGTCGCGGGGTGACCTCATGGAAACAGAATCCTGGGTCCGTGCTCACTCACCTGAGCGAAGTAAATTCTCTAAGCGCGCGTACCTCAAGGTTTTATGGTGACAGAAACTGCGTTAGCTTCGTTACCTGCACGGTAGCGTTGTTATCACAATAATCCGTGAGGCTTGAGCTCTTGCAGATGTAGAAGTACCTGATAGGGAGGAGAAGGTTGAGCCCACCACCACCATGCGGGGAAATAATTCAGTAAACTCCTCGGAGAATGGTATGGGTTGAATATTTTTTCGTCGAGCGCAATCTTCAATTGTATAATGGCCAGGAAAAGCGGTAAAACGTGATTCTCGTTAACGGAATTTTTGCGCTTACAAATGCTTCTTGTACGGACAAATATGATTGTAGTTGGAAAGAAGCTAAACACATTTGACTAAACCAGGAATGTTAGCCAATTAAATTAGCTCTCTCTCTCTCTTCTCTCTCTCTCTCTCTCTCTCTCTCTCTCTCTCTCTCTCTCTCTCTCTTCTCTCTGCTCTCTCTTCTCTCTCTCTGCTCTCTCGTCTCTCTCTCTCTCTCTCTCTCTCTCTCTCTCTCTCTTCTCTCTCTCTCTCTTCTCTCTCTCTCTCCTCTCTCATGCCTCTGCTTTCTCTCTCTCTCTCTCTCTCTTCTTCGCTCCTCTCTCTCTCTCTCTCTTCTGCGTCCTCTCCCCTCCTCTCCTCGTCTCTCTCTCTGCTGCTCTCCTCTCGTCTCTCTCTCTGCTGTCTCTCCTCTCTCTCTCTCTCTCTCTCTTCCTCTCTCGTCTCCTCCTCTCTTCCTCTCTCCGCTCTCTCTCTCTCTCTTCCCTCTCTCTCGCTCTCTGCTTGCCTCCCCGCTCTGCTCTCTACTCTTTGGCCTGCTCTCTCTCTTGCTCCTCTCTCTCTCTCTCTCTCTCTCTCTCTCTCTCTCTTTGCTCTCTCTTCTCTCTCTCTCTCTCGTGCTCTCTCCTCTCTCTCTCTCTCCTCTCTCTCTCTCCTCTTCCTGCTGCTCTCTCCTACTCTCTCTCTTTCTTTCTCTCGTCTCTCTCTCTCTGTCTCGTCTCTCTCTCTCTCTCTCTCTCGCGCAATATATATATATTATATATACATAAATATCAGGAGTAGATAAAAGGGAAAAATAAATATCCTGATAAATATGAAAGAGTAATAAAGTCAGCCACTTATCCTATACAATCCACCACTAGGTGTCACTACCGTGGCACTAGTTCACTGCTAGTGCTTATGCTGCTATTCAACAAATATACGCGCTCTGCTTTCAGATTATTGTCTTCGGCATGCAATCTGAATTCTTGTCTTTTTGAATTTTGAACTTTGAATTTTGAAACGTCAAACTTTTAGATAGATTTGGCTTAATATTGTTCTATTTATTATGATATCACTAGATTTAGATAATAATGACATGAATTTCGATATCAGACTGATCTGACACTAATCTCTAGACTTGACTATATTGACTTGACTAGACTTGACTCACAGATATCATGTAATATATCAGGACTGAATTAAAAATGTTTTTATTCACTCTTGATTATAGTATATCTATGGACAGGCCAGTCTCCCGTCTACATAGCCAGAGATTGTCTATAACATCAGATTGTCCAGCTGTGACGCACACAACTGCCAAATAATGGGGTTCGTCTTGAAAAAATTCATGCTCAATTTATAGTGGCCACAGAGCTCTCACACTCTGACCATAGATAATTGCCCAAGGCAATTACCATTGGGCAATTATCTATGGTTTGATCATGCAGGGTCGATGACAAAAATCATGCGCATATGAGAATTTCCGTCGCACTATAGTATAGGTGATTTTTCTTGTCTGCGTGACAACACTCTCTTAGTCTGGCGGGCACGTCTCAGTGCGTTTCACGATTTGAGATCCTACCTATTCCCCCAAGAATGTCCATCGCCGAAGACAAGAAGAGAGAAATCCTGTAGTCTGACCTAATATTTAATACCGTAAAGTTAAAGAACTAACGCAATCTAAAGCACCTAATAAAACTTTATAAAGCTTGTTCACACTGCAAAGTATCGGAATGTCACTAGTACAAATTTAGCAAGAATCATAGCATTACCACTAACGGCTAACGCAACGAATATGAAAGGGGTTGTCGTAAGCTGATATCTTGATATTACCAAGTCATTACCCTAACCCGAATTTGCCTCACCATGCAATTTACCATGTGCATATATTATTTTGCTACCCTTGTATTTTTCATATGAGCAATTCCACGGTATTCCACGGTATATTGTCTTGTTTCAGCATAAATTGGTATCACACTATAAACATAAAGGTGGTTAGCGTATGATTTGTCCACATGCTATCATTTATCGAATTAAAAGAACATGTAGCTTTGCTTCCGTAAGGTGCAGAATTTGATTATTTGATATGATCTTAATTTGGCTGAGAGGGTCTATATGCCCCCCAGGGTACTGCCGGAACGTACCCTGGGTACGTTCCGGGTACCTTGGTACTATCTAATATGCCGGACCGTACATCGCCTACTCCACTAACGATCGAGTCTAGGCCTACGCCTACTCCCTAACCCTAACCTTAACCCTAACCCTAACACTACCCCTAATCCTAACCCTAACCCTAACCATATCAAATAGTTACCAGGTTACGTTCCGGTATACCGGACCGTACCCATATGGTACGTTCCTGCAGTACCCTGGGGGACATCGACCCTATGAGCCTTAATTTGTATGATCGATTTTTATCCAGAACGCGGTTGAGTGTATATGAACATGTAAATGTAGGCATAACGTGAGAATGTTGACACCTTTTTATCCAGCGTAGTCGTGACAACTACCAAGGCACCGCTGCTTCCGTTCGCATTGCGTTGTCGGCGACATCACAGATACTGGGCGGAGCGTAGGCCCTTTAAATTTGCCGCCGAGCGCCGCAGTCACTTGGTAAGTATTCATTCGCGCGTGAACCGCATATGAACTATCTGCGATCTAGTTGATCGTCTGTCATTAGCCCGCTTGTGTTAATTTCGCTTATTATTAAACGTTTCTATTTAAATGTGAACTTTTCTATTTATATTCATTTATACATATGCAAATTTTCACGCAGATAGTCGTTAGATTTCGCTTTAGAACTACTTTAGTCTCGGCGCGCATATTCTGGCAAGTGATGGGTCATTTGCGGCGCGACGCGAGCAAACACCACGCTGTTGTGAAACATACATTTGTACAGGTGCTGAGGAATGCCGTGAGATGGCTAATGATTTGTGCATTTCTCCTAGTTTGACAGTCGAACGTTGGGACAAAATGAGGGACATGTCGCAGTTAAGTGATGACACAGAGTTGGAAAGCAACCAAGATCGAGATCCAGACCTCGTCGAAGAAAGATTCCGTGTGGACCGTCGAAAACTTGAACAAATGTTGCAAGGTGCGTTGATCATTACGACTATTATTATTAGTCTAGGATCACTACAGCCGCGGATATGGTATTTATAATTGTTTTATGTGTTTCATGTTAAACCATATGAAATCAGCTACCAATTATCTTCCTATTCAGGCGGTGCCAGAATACATTCCGTGTGAATTATAATATAACTTTTATTTCAAGGAAGCTATAGCCACAGTATATATAGGCTTCGAACTTAATTATCGCTGTTTTGAGTTTTCCACATAATTATATCGCTGTGGTTTTACTGAGTGGTCACGCATAATAAGAGCTATGCTTGTTCGTATATTTATACTTATAGTCGGAAAACGATAGGGTTTCACTATATTATCTAGTTTCTTGTCACGACAGGGGGTTCCATTTCTTGTGTATATATACTACTACTAGCTGTTACTTGGCCATACAGTGCGTCTATAAGTTTTAATAGGGTTGCCATGTATAATCCTACAGCCTACAGGCTACAGGCTACAGTGAGTGTTCTCACAGGCCTGTTGCCTTCATAAACAGAAACTAGTTATTTGGAAATCGTTTCACGTACGTGTAAATACTAGCTGCATCACAAGCAACGATTATTTGTCCATATCCGTTGCATTCTAATTTCATGACTTTCCGACTAGCCAAGCGTTTGCCCTGTTTCGATTTATGCGTTGGAGTTCGTGCTGCTTAGGCACAGGCATGTACGCACGGTTACTGCACTGCTGTATATAGATAGAGATGTGCCCATACTCGGAGCTGTATGCAGAGGAATGCTATTGTCAACATTGGCCAGGGACGTCTCGTATTGTTCTGACACGTTTCTGCTATTGTAGCATGTGTGTGTGTCTGGGCAGCTAGCTGTAGGCCCCAGAACCTCCTAGTCATAAACCTGTATCTGCACACTGCTCCTCCAATTTACAGACTATTAGACCGTAAAATCAATTTGAAAGGATCAAGGATTGGAAACCAGTTGCAGCTGTTGCAATGGATTTGTATAGGATATGTATGAATAAGTACAATTTCGAGTGTGCTGCAAAAGGCAACAGTGTTTAGCCAGTGCCAGGGTCAAGATTGTTGAAGATAAACGCTTGAAGATGTTAAAATCTGGTGAGTCAAGTGGGATACAGTAACCTTCCTATTACTCGTACAGGTATATCCCATATGTACACACAAACAAAGTGTGTTGAAAGAACCAGAGCGTTTGGATTTCTCTCAAATTTGATGCTATATAGCCTCTTGATGCATTTCAGGCATGAGAACTTAGAACAGAAACATTTAGAAGCTCCCAGTAACAAAGGAAAAAACTGTTCCCCTGGACGTACAAAGATCGAGTAATTAAAGTATCATTATCAGGGGAGAATAATGACAATTTGACAATTGAAATTTAAACAATTTGAATAATGACAATTTGTCATTGTTCACCCCCTGATATATTGTTGGTAAATGCATTGATAGAAAAGCTGCCAACGCGCTTGATAATGTACAGCACATGTAATATTGTACGAGGACATACATGTATTTTGCAGATGTAGCAAAAACATATATGGGAGAAAGACTAGGCAATGGCGCATCACCACTGCTAGTACACTGCTAGTACCAGCTAGCATGTGTTATGTTACATTGTCTGCAGCTGGGTCACAGTATTTCTGTCAGTTTACAACTGCTATAATATTTCAGTTTCCCTCCTCAGAACCTCATTAATATTTCATTTTTGAGTTTTCTTCCCATTAGTCACTTTCACGTGGGCTTTGAACCGATGGCTATTCTGAGTATGAAATATGTTAGTTTGTAGAATTGGATCACAGGAAGTCATTTGTTGTGTATGCATGCATATCTAGCATAATACAAGACTATGATAAATATCGAGGTTCGTATCCTGGATTCTGGATTATCAGGTTTTCTAAGGTTCTGGAAAATAAGATATGTTCTTGGAAATTCTACACAGTGTTCCCAATTTATATGGTCAATGTCCTGGAAAATTGAGCACTACGCGATCTGATTTCATGCATTAATTAACCCTTTATTCCGTATTAATTGTCAGGTATGAATGTTAGGCCGGAATATCATTTGTAGTAATTGGAGTGGGCTAAACGCAGTGATAGTTGAGTAGCCAGTGATACCATATTTGGTGTTGAGCATGACTTCTATTACTGTCACCTACTCTAGCTCCGTCACTACATGCTACACGCATTTGGCATTAACTGTCATTTAAAAATTAAATCGTATTTGTCGTTGGGTCTTTGGAAGCACATATATCTAATATCGTGAACACGAATCTTGAGTTTCGACTGACATTTTGATAACCGACGCATGTTTCGTGCGCATTTTGTGTCTACCTGTACTACACTCATGGGGGTCATGGTTATATTACACGAGTGCTTGTGATGGTAGCGCGTATTACTTCTGGGTTCTCTGTTCTAGCTGCTACTCGCTTCCGTAATTCTATTGCTGACGTGTTGCAGTGGGTAACGCACTTCGATGCGTTTTGGAATTGTCAGCGAATTAGCATCATAAAAGAAAGCCGGTAGCGAAATAACTTCTTCGCGAATTCACTTCTTCACGCGTATGCCCTCGAGCTGAGTTGTACTAGTAATAGGAGAACTTCGTGATTTGTTTGATGTCATGTACTTGATACTACTACTAGTTTGAGCATTCACAGCTGTGTAAGAGGCTATTTGTTTCGCTGCTAAATATTAGCCGCGTACGCACGGTATGACAGTAGGTTTACGACGGTATCAAAGGTGTGTTGCACATGCACGCTGTTTTATGTCGTATTTCACAATATTTCACCAAATCATTTAAATTCTGTTGAACAGTTCACAGTGTATTAGAGATGATATACACATACGTGTTATGTGTACACGTGTGTTGTAGGGGGGCGTGTTATGGGTATTGGCTAAGGGCATAGATTTTAATATTGATTTAAAGTTTGTCTTGATGTTTCAGCTGCAGCAGAGGGCCATGGCGAGGCCGTGGAAGATTTCTTTCGAAGGGTAGGTTATACTGAAGGTTTAATACTTGAGATAAAAATATACTTGCATACATTCAACTGCTTTATTGAACAGTATTAGTACAGCTGTGATACAGGTTTGCATATATATGTCATGGGATAGTCACAGACATGTTGCTAAATGCTGTACACATGTTCACACGTATCACAAAGTATTGTAGATAATTGTACATTAGTGCAGCACTGCGTAAATCTGTAAATTAATTTACAATACACAGTGGTAGTGCTCTATCTCATTCTGGCATATATGCTCTGTCATAGTGTATGTGTATGTGTATGCGTGTGCGTGCACGCGTTCAACTCTGTATAAATAGTGTATATTATTGTGCTAAACATATCACAAAGCACATTTGCCTCGTTTACTCGTTTGTCTGCATTTTAGATTCTGTGTCATCGACCTTAGATACCTGTCCAAAATAATAGTTACTGTAAATTGTGGTATCCTGACATGACATTAGCTTTAAAAAAAGAAGGAGGGCATGCACATGCTTTATCTTCTTTTAACTGGCTTACGAATGTGCTTTGTTCACTGAAACTGGAAAACTTGAGCATACAACTTTCATAATTGTAATCGGAGCACTGGCCTGTTTTTCGTTTGTTGTTGTAACTCAATGACCTGATAAAATTAGTCACAATTTTAGTAGATGAACAAAAAATATTTAAGTAATGGCAATGTTTTTCTATATTTTGAAACGTTGTCAAACAAAAGCCTTTCATATCCTTGAGATTAATATCAACAGGCTTAAAATGCAGCCACCACAGTCTGGATTAAAAAAATCAACAAATCTGTATTTTTGTTTAGCTTCAGTCAAAGAAGACAGTCTGTGTGTGACCTTTATTTTTGTCGCTCTTAGCAACGCTGAGCATTGCATTGTATATATATATATATATATATATATATAGTCGGATATGTCTAATAAAATGCATATCTGTGCACGTTTCAGATAATGGATGAAACGACGACACAAATCACATGGCCGTCGAAGCTGAAGATTGGTGCTAAAAGCAAGAAAGGTAAGCGTTTATTGTATGTTAGCTCGTGCTGTTAATAAACATGTTTGTATGTGTGCATGGTGTTTGTGCACTAGAACAGGATAGTTTGTGTATATATGCTCTGCTTCCATGTATTGTGGCATAGAATAACACCCATTTTCACACACGATATTAGCATCGTCAGATTCGTCACCAATCCAAGGAATTGTTAATATATTAATAGTCAGATTTAATTTGAGTTTTTCGAAAGGGTGCTATACTAAGAATATTGCTTATTAACAAACGATCCGTAAAGGCTACGAGGAAGGCACTAACTGACTAAGCTAGATGTGCCAATATAGAGAGATAGTACGACGGGAAACATGTATGCAAAAGGAAGAGCCGCTGTGCTCAAAGGTTTCCTTGCACACGAAAAGTAGACAGCTAGGACATCTGGTAGGAGGCAGACGTACGAGATGGATATGAGTGAGAGTGTACAGTTTGTGCTGATGAGTGTAACACTAACAGCGACTAAGGCATACCTGGATTCCAAAACAATCAGCCACAGTGCTTGTGGGTTAGTCGATCAATACCAATAGACATTAAGTATGCCAGGTAATATATAGCTTCGATGTTCATGACGCATCTACACCCCCGGTGTGGGATTTCACTGTGTTGTTTTGTAGTAGATATATGATAATGAAGTACGAAGAATGATTAGCATATTTATGCTAGATTTGGCTAGCTTATTGCTGCGTACATTCATGTACATACATTTGGTGCAAACTGTGTGTTTGCGTGCGCGCGTGGGATGCGGTGGCTGTATATATTCAAGGTATTTAGATGTGTCACGGTGGAGAATATCTGCGTTGTGAATCAAATGAAATGGGTTTGCTTTGGTTCAGTATTTGTTTTGATGTTTGACTTGACAGTTTAAAGCTTTGTTGTTAAAGGGTAAAAGTGGTCAAACAGAGTTCAACGCGTGCTCTCCGTCCGGTCGTTATCACCCGAGACTGAAACCCGCTCCTTATGATATCGTCGGGAGTGAATAAAATATTGTTTTTATTCACTGCTAGTGGCAATAGTGGGATGCTACGCCGTATTAATGGTATCAGGAGTGAATAATAATATTAAAAAATATATATTATTATTCACTCCTGATGTAATCGTCATGATGAACTTGCTGTCTCTCGTTTCTTGAAAGTCGGACAGACGTGTGTGCGCGCGTGCGTGCGTGCGTGCGTGCGTGCGTGCGTGCGTGTAGCACTTGTGCAGGGCAGCAAGCAGTGGTGCTGCTTGGATGCTGCCCTGGCCTGCATCATACTGCGATACAGGTATTGATGAATTTTAAAGTGCTCTGCCGCCAGCCAGCTGCTTGGTCATCACCCTGAATTATCCCTCCGTCACCTAGTAACCAAAGTCTGTTTACTTCTGTTTACGTTGTGCTTTCACTTTTTGTATTGGTGAAACCATTGACCTGAGATGAACTGCAATGAGTCATACGTTGGTAAATCGTGTGTGGAAGCCTAGGTGCATTTTACGCAGATAAATCCTGAGAAAGGCGTATCAGATCTTCATATTTTGAACATGTTGGTGCATTTCTTAAGATACTCAGTGTTCTATTACTCTGCATGCATGCCAGTACATGTGTGCACGTTCATCACTGTGTGAGCATGCGCGTGTATAGCTCTAGTACTATAGCCCGCGTTCATTAACTGCCGCAGGCCGGCTAGACGCTATGGTCTAGGCAGGCTGCGGCAGTTAATGAACGCGGGCTATAGTACTAGAGCTAGTGCGTGTAAGCATGCGCATATGTGCGTACAGGGAACATAGGCGTATATACGTAAGCCTTTTTTTATTTTTTATCACCCATTTACTTACCAGTATTGGTGGTCAAAATAAAAATAAAATTGAATGAACACTAACAAATAACAATTAATTGTCAAAATGAATGCCTATCAGAACCAATTCGTAGCTGAAGAGTGAGTGTAGTACGGAAATAAGATAAGCATCCATTTTATTTTTATTTTTGTTTTTGACGTCGACAGATCGTAAACCAAGCTATCAAAAATAAAGACTCAACTGCGTGGTGCACCCGCGTTGATCATTCCTCCATATAAAACATGCGTGTTTAACTCCACTGCATCGTAGTGGCAGACTACTAAGTTATTCATCGTAGGAAAGCTGCCCTATCCTCGTGTTTTGGAAACTCAAAATAGAAAAATGGCCTTGTTTACCTAATCTTGCAATAACAAACTCTCTCTTCCCGTCTATGTACATGTGTGCATGTGCCCCAGCCGTTGATTCTGACTGTTTTCTCTGCTAAGTGCCACCCTTTCCGTCTATGTTTATATTCTAAGACTTTCTACTTGGCATATAGGTGAGATGATTAGCGAGCAAGGTGTTAATTTGACAGCATATTCCTGATAGTTATGAAGTTTCTCAGATGGGTAAAACACAGCTAGCGAGATGTTAAAGCTGGTCATGATAGATAGGGGAAGAAGCTGATGCTGAGAGAAGAGCAGAATCCGACGAGATGTACAGAAACTGAAAGTGAGAGTGCAAAAGTTATATGGTGAGAGAGGGGCAAAGCATGGTGGTGATAGAGGGAGAGAAGCCGTTGTTGAGACGGACAGAAGGTGAAGATGAGGGAACCCAGGCCACAAAAACACCTACATACTGTGAAAATTATATCACATGGTAAGCCAGCAACAATAGGTGGGTACATTAATCCCATATTACTGTATAATAATATAATAACATGTCTCACATTCTATCAATGTATGCTATATATTCTTAGCTCTTAATTCTATGCATATGTTATATATATAATATTATAATTAAACTCTGTTGTTAATGATAATTAACTCGCATCTGCAAGAGGAATAATACGGTGAGTGAGCGATGGAAGGGTGCACTGAGATATTTGTAGGATGGCACAGCGTGTTGTGGAATGAGAAGATATAGGTAGAGATATTTTGAAATGGACGGGGAATGAGGTGCCCATGGTGCCCAGTGGTACACGGATATATATCTGTTAAATGCGCAAGTGAAAGCTGAGCTGTGGGACGCTACATGAAGGGATCAGTGAGCGATGAGAGAAAGTCAGGGCGACTGCGAAAAAGAAGATAAGGACAAAAAAAGCAAGATAGCTGCTGTACTTTTCTCAATACACACATGCTACGGCGTTCGCGCGGTAATATACACCACTAGTATTTGTCACAGTAGCCTGCACGATACCCAGGGGTGTATCCAGGATTTTTTCTGGGTGGGTC